ATATATATATTTATTTATATATAAAATCTCCAAGGGAATTGAACGTGTATGCTATTTTTGTTTTAAGAAAAGTAAAGGTTAAGTCAAGTTTTGGCTTTCCCAGGTGTAAAGCTGATGTGTACGTGGTGGTCTCTGCTAATAAAATGTTGGGCATGTCACGTGACTTAGGAGCTCAGTCTTCAGCACCGCCACGGAACTGAGTCAGTCACCTTTTTTGGCGGCTTAAAATTTAAAAGATAATCATTCTGAGAGAGTGAGCACTCACAAGTCATGGGTCTTGAATTTTATGATTGTCAAAATTCTGGTAATCCCCAGTGAAGATAGTGAGTTATTCCCTCTGGTAGCATTTCCTTCAGAGGAAGAGCATGAGGATTTCCAGGTTGAGAAACCCTATATTAAAAGTTAATATACTGGTCAGATGAAAAGAGGTTTAACATCATTAAGCAACAAGGAAATATAAATCGGAACCACAGGAAGATGCCAGTCACACTCATTAGGAAGGTGATTATGTTTGTTTGTTTTGAGACAGAGTCTCACCTTGTTGCCCTTGGTAGAGTGCAGTGGTGTCACAGCTCACAGCAACTTCAAACTCTTGGGCTTAAGCGATTCTCTTGCCTCAGCCTCCCAAGTAGCTGGGACTATAGGTGCTCACCACAATGCCCAGCAATTTTTTGGTTGTAGTTGTCATTGTTGTTGGGCAGGCCCGGGCTGGATTTGAACCCTCCAGCTCTGGTGTATGTGGCTGGTACCCTAGCTGCTGAGCTACAGGCACTGAGCCTGATTATGGGTTTTTAAAAAAATTTGTTTTGAGACAGAATCTCACTCTGTTGCCCTGAGTAGGGTGCTGTGGCATCAGCTCACACAGAACTCTCACTGAGGAGACACAGTGCAATGGTTTACGTGGTGTATAAGTTTGTGTCCTGATGTCTTATTTAACTGTATGGCAGGAACGTTTCCCAGGGTAACTAAAGCTCATTATTCATGTAATAATTTCTAAGGCCGTATGCATCATCTTCCATCAGTATATGGTTGCTCCTCATTTGCCTAACAGTTCCCAGGCCTGACATTTCAGTGGGTTTTGGTGGTTTTTCTGTTTAGGGTAATAACTTGAGCTTTCAGTGAAAGCTGAAAATCCCCCAGCAGAGGCAGGGGGATTGCTTGAGCTCAGGACACCAGCTTGAGGAAGAGCAAGACCCTATCTCTAAAAAGTGAAAAAGGTTAACCTTTTATGTATGTCAATGAAGTAAAAAAGTGAATAGAAATGATTTTCGAGGTTCTTACTACTAATTTGTGGTTAGTTTTGTTTTGAGCACTCCTTTAACAAGGAATATATTGCTTTTTATACAGATAGGAATTGGTAGGCACAGGTTGTAGACTATTTTGCATTTCTTTCCTCGTCCAAATTATTTCACCTGCCCTCCTCAACAAAGGTGGAATACAGATGATGTCCTCTTCGTAGGTAGGAAAATTGGAGCACAGAGTGTATGGTCACTGGTTCCCAGAGTCACATGGCCAGCAGTCCCCAACCTTCTTGGCACCAAAGACCAGTTTCATGGAAGTCAGTTCTTCCACAGAGGGAGGGAGGGATGGGACAGGAGCTGGAACTCAGGTGGAGATGGCCTGGGGGGACTCGGGGACTGCAGACGTAGCTCCACGGGCCAAAGCTGGAGTTGGGAGCCAAGACTTCTCGTTCTTTCTTTGCTGGGCCACACAGTCTCTGTGTCTTTGTCTTCGACTATTACTTTCCTTTCTGTTATAATTTTTGGGGGAGACTGACCAGAGCTCTTAGGTTTCCTCCTGATTTGGGGGTGTTGGGTTCCAGCTCTTTCCTTCTGTTCTGTTTGTTTGCCTTGGTACGCAGGGGGTCATTGGGTAGAGTATTAACAGTTCTTTCACACTTTTGCGGTGACTTGGAGAATTGGGTGCTACCTAACATGTGTCTTTGGCCAAGAAACAGCAAATAGAATCAATGTTTTGTATTTGCCTTTTAAAGATATTTAGACTCAGGCAAAAACTTTACTGGGATAGAGTGAAAGTATGAGTAAAATGTGTAGTATTCCTTTAGAAGGTAAGATCTGTCTTGTGAAAAAGGGAAGCTTCCTATGGCATTGAAAATAAAGCTGCCTTTTGGAGCAGTGCTTTATTTTATGTGTAGGTTTAATTAGGAAGTAGCACTTTGTTGTGGGGACACAATCACAGAAGAGCCTTTGTTTTAGGCAATCCTTTAGACAAGAGCTACTTGTTTGCTGGGTTTTGTGAAACCTCATTAATTCAGATGTCAGTTGTTTTTTTCCCCAAAATTTCTGGAAAATTAACCAGAACTGGGTGAGGTTTACTATTGCATCATGTGAATATAAAATGTTTGCTAAGCACAGTTACAAGCTCAATAAGAAAACAAGAAAATTTCACATTTTCAGAACAAAATCTTGAAGGATTTATAGAACAAGCATTTGCATGTAAATTGGAACTTCTCGGTACAATCAAATCTTGGCTGTCTATTAAAAGAAGTTAGAGACCCTTCCTAGAAAGGCTCTGATAGAAATTACTTTTACTGTATATGTACTTAATTTTCTTAATTTTCTATTACTTCATTGGCAGTAATAAAAAGTAATACAAAATTACTGGCCTCAACCAATTTCAAATATTAAATTTCTCTTTAATTTACTTGGCAAAATGAATAGATTAGGGAAATTTTAGTCTTCATTGTGTTTTGGAAATAAACCACCC